CAGCAGCAGCAGCAGCAGCAATAGTAGTGTGTTAGGATGATGACATGCGCAAATTCACTTACATCAGTTGGATCTGACAGTAGGAAGGAGTGCTGTCCCACCCAAACCAGCTGCACACCGTTGTGCAGGACTCCGGACGACAGATAGATGGGCGTCGTATCCCATCCTACCCACGTAACATCAGGCCTGATAACCTGTAACGCCAAACCAGATTGAAGCGACCTCGCGCATGAACACACGCACACACGCACGCACACACGCACGCACGCACGCACGCACGCACACACACACACACACGCACAATTCATATCATCAGCACTAACCCCATCATATACTTAATAATCAACAGCACCACCAGCCCCAACATATACTTCATCATTAGCATAAATGCAACGCCACCTCTACTATAAGTCGTATATATGTCACTATTCCACTCACGCACAATAAAGTACATTCGATATTACATTCTCACGTATCGGACATATACATACATACACACGCACGCACGCACGCACTCACGCACGCACACACACACACCACGACCAGCTTGATGATTCACGATTAACGGCAGCGGAGGAGCGAGGAAACGTGAAACACGCCACAACAGAAGACATTATACGAGGTGTTCGTTATTCTTACATATGCGTCGAAGCTGAAAACGATGTCGCTCGCACTCGCCGTGGGGTCTGAGCCACTGTTGGCAATCGTCATCTCCTTGTACGCCCAGTCAATCTAGCAACACATGTATTGTATGGTAACTAACTGCATGCTAATTACGCTGGCGCCACCTATGTTTACAACATCGCGATTGCAAATTTTTGTTTACGAAATTTTGTGTACAATTTTTTTAGACGAATTTTTACTACTATTTTTTTTACAAAATCATGAAATTCGCAACAGCAGCGCCATCTACATCCTCTACGTCATCACAGCGCGCATTACGTTGCATTATTCTGCGCACGGAAGGCTGCGGTGCTATGCGGCCATATTACTAAGCACGCCCGCGCCCAATCTCATCATAGAGATCACGTGACTATCGGCTTTCGATTGCGCTTTGATTGCGATCGGCGGTTAAATTGCGCCACCGCAACAAACAAGAGAGCAATTTTCATCTCTCTGCGGTGAGATTGGCCTGCGCCAGCATACGTACAAGTGTTGGGTACTCGGTCGGCAGAGCCTCCTCTGTGAAGGTATACATCGCGTCGCCCGCGAGCGGAGTCAGGTTGCCACCGACCGTCTTCACCGTCGGGTTGCATAGCTTCACGATGGTCGGAGTGTCGAGGTCGCCGGTGAACATCTCCACGGTGAACGTGCTCGGTCCGGCAGGAAGGCCGATGGTCAGTTCGAACGAGATGATGTCACCGACGTTCAAGGTCGACGCCGCCGCGTTCGGACCGACGGGCGTCAGAAGAAACGCCATTTCTGTCGGCACCTGCGATAGCCGACGGACGCGGATAATCACTGTGTGCGGTAAACCACCTCGCACCTATATCGACAACTCCGCCTCCTTCTGTCGCGGCTGCTATCATGCGTGGTCATGCAAGAAATCTGCCGACGTTAGGACGTAGGGACGAAATCTGCTGAGGTGTGTTTAGTGTGGACAGACAACGTTAACGACACATTGCAGTTCGTGCGTCATACCGAGTGCTAATGCGTAGTAAAGTGATTACGTCACCGTAAATAGTAAAAGTTAATAAATGAAAGTGTCAATGACACTGTAGCTCACCACAAAAAAAGACACAAATGAGTGAGTAAGAAGAAGTCAGTTTTAATTGAGCAACCATCGACGTACATTATAGAAACGATTGCCATCTGTATATCGCAATAATAATTCATAAACCAAAATGAATCACAATTTGTGACCGTAGATGGCGCTATACCCGCTTTGTAGCGATGGCGTTTGAAATAAATAGGTTATGCTGCGTTCAGACATGTTTTGTAAATCTTTACTCTAATATAGACGTTTTATCGGCAGTGTGGAGTGAAAATACCAATTTTGCATTAAAGATATTGTCAATGAAACTTGTGAAAACGACCAGACGAGTGTGACACACAGACTGTTTGTGGTCTATAATAATATGCTATATAATGCCAAGCCCTACATAATTTGCATAATTTTTTTTTTAATATCAAAACCCCTAGCCTTATCATTCACATACCAAAAATGAGCAAATCCCTGTTGCAACCTGAACTGACTAATGGCAATTACCATTTTTGCCAAAAAATTGCCGTGGCTGCCAAAAGAAACGAAAGTACGTCGACTGGCGTGCTTCAAAATAGGACGTTTAATATGGGAGCATAGCAGTAACAACTATACCCAATTTCAAACATGTGGGCCAAACGGTTCCTGAGTTATCGTTGATCGAAGCGAAATGTTGACGGACGGACGGACGTACGACAGACGACAATCCATGGCAATAGCTCAGCTTGACGATGTCAAGGTGAGCTAAAAATTATGTCCACTTTATTGCAAAATGTAAGTGATTCTGTTCACTTTTTTTATGGTTAAATTGCTGCAATATACTTCCTATTTTGCTATTCCGTTCAATGTGAACAAACAGTCGTGACTCATACATAGCCCATGGCAAGCATTTAATGTCATGATCACGCGAGCGACAACTGGAGATGGATTGATGCTAAAGAGCTGACGCGTGCCGATTTACATTTAAACATCAGCTGAAGCAAGCAGCAAACGACCAAAGTGTGCATTATCGTCATTAGAATCATCCTCATATTTATCATCGCCGTCGCCGTCATCGTTGTCATCATTGTCATCGTCGTCGTCGTCGTCATCGTCGGCCGCATAATCATCAACATCGTTATCATCACCATCATCATCACCACCGTCATCACCTTCATTTTTTTAAATAAAATGGTTGCCAAAGACTTCGACTGTACTTACCGCGCGTTTGGAGCGTGTGTGGGCGACGAACTCGTTTGGTTCGAAGTCGACAAACTCAGCATCTCCCGTCTCGCTAGGTGGAGCCACGTGCACGTTTAGGGTGAACGTGTCGGTTTTCGATGTTCCATCCTGGCTGCTGTTGCCAACATTGTTTCTTACTTTGATAGTCAACCTGCGAAACAAGACAGAAGCGATGCGTTGCTTGTGCGCTGCTGTTGTTGTTGTTGTTGTTGTTGTTTCGTGTATTGTTGCGCTCTTGTGCAGAGAGCGTTATTTCTTTCTATGTTCATAACGTGATGCCACGTTCCATGCGTAAGCGCGGGTACGTGACCGTTGCGTTCCACTTTGCAAAACACACTGATTTGATCGTTGATCAAAAACACTGCAGGAGATGAAATATAATTTACCTTCTTGAACATAATTGTGATCTCCTTCTGTCAAAACCATGTAGTTATATGCTCTTGAAAATACCAATCAAATATTACATACTTGCGTTCGGATTTCTTTGGTATCTCTCTTCGCAGCAAGATGTCGCCACTGTCTGGATCGAGCAGAAACTCCCCGTGTTCGTTGCCGTGGGTGATAGCATAGGTCATATCACCACAAATACATTTCTCGTCAGAGTGGGCACAGGTGGTGACCCTTTTAATGTTGAAATAGAGATAAAACAAGATTTAATAAAGATTTATTAATATAATATAATAAATAAATTTCTCGTCAGAGTGGGCACAGGTGGTGACCCTTTTAATGTTGAAATAAAGGTAAAACAAGATTTAATAAAAATTTAATAATAATAATTAATTATGATTTAATTAATGATATAGGAGGTTATAACGTTATGATAACAGTCCGAACTGAAAAATGTAGGTTCATGATAAGGGAAATATTATCATGGGCAGAAGAGCAAAATGATGGAAATCATACTATAGAAGCAAGATTGAAATTATACGAATGCACAGTTTTACCTTCCTTCCTAAATAACAGTGAAACATGGACTAACTTGACTAAAGGAAGAAGTAAAAATGTTGGAGGATTTCCAAAATGAGTGCCTGCGCAAAATAATAATCACGCAGAAAAAGCAGAAAAATCTACCGAAAGGCATTGAAAGACGATGAAAACTCTAAGGAAAGATACGGAGGAAAAAAAACGCATTATTTTATTGAAAATCCCCATATTTACTTAAAAAACATCCAAGAGATGGCGCTGTGGCATGTCAACATTGGCTCCGAACCATAGCTTAGACTGGTACCCGGTCGACACTAGCGTGTGGATAGTCAGTGTAGCGAAAGATAGTTAGCTAATTAGCTCAGTAACTAAAGTTAGTGTAGCGAAGGATACTTGCCGGAGTGAAGATGGCGAACGGGTACCAGTCTAACCATAGCTCCGAACATTCCAACCTCTGTCGTGCAGTGTGCTGTGTTTTGCTCAATTGTTCAATGAATGACGCACTCGTTCACTTCCGACAGCGAGTGAAAATGCAGAAAATTTTCCTCTTTGATGCGAAATGCATTGGCCGGGCATTTCATTATTTACGAAAAGTTAACAGGCCGGGGGAAAGACGGTAGGTACAGGAACTGGTCACGTCGGTGACGCCCCATTTATGCCCATCAACGAAGAAGGCGGGGCTAATTCTGATTACGGAGATGTGAAAATGCAACAGAAGGACGTAGCGCAGTGCGCTAAACAGCGTGTTATTTTCGTTTTTGTGCCAAACTCTATCATAGGAAACCGTTCTAGCCTAGCAGAATGCCCTAGTTCCTGAGATCGGCGACTTGGTGCTGTTATGGGTCCCCACCTTTAAAAATATTATAGAGGTGCGGCGTAGACTGTGATTGGAAGACACAAAGTGTCAATCCTCAGCGCGCCTCGGCATCATGGCCGCATCACGTCAAGGAGAGGAAGCGGATTGGCTGTGCGCTGTTCGCCTCAAGGGCGCCATCTATGGACCATAATCAGCTGAAACGGCTGTGCAGACCGAACCCAGAGACAATAGAACACTAATCTGTTCTAGGGTCTCTGCTGAACCCAAATTTGGGCCAGATATGGCGGCGCTTCCTCTCCTTGTTATATTTAGCTCCTTGCGCGGATGCATACTTACTACATCAACAACAGCAGCGGCAGGGCCGAGTGCTCCGACCGTGAGGAGTGTAGGGGGTAGCGTTGGTGATGTGACGGTCACCGTGCCTTCAGTGGCCCAATAAAGATTCCAGAAGATCTTCACCTTGCTGTTTATATCCGAACTCGCTGCGTCGGCACGCGCCCCTGCGAAATAAAAATATGTAATTGAAAATGAAAATGTAAATTGACTACGTCACAAATTTTTTTATGGTGTATATTTTGTTAAATTTTTGTTGCAATTTTTTGTACATGAAAAGTGAGTACTAACGGGACTAGATGTATCCTCAGATTCTTAACTGATAATATTGTTTCTCAACTAGTTAAAAAAAAACCTGGGCAATTTGATATATTGATCACGACATTAAATGCTTGCTATGGGCTATGTATGAGTCACGAGTGTTTGTTCACATCGAACGGAATAGCAAAATAGGAAATATAATGCAGTAATTTAACCATGAAAAATGCAAGAATCACAAAATTTTGTGAAAAAGTGAACATTGTTTTTTACTTTTACTTTTGACGGTGACGTAATCACGCGCGCACACTCACTCACTCACACGCGCGCGCACACACAGACACATAAACTTGCGCACACTCACTCACTCACACGCGCCCGCACACGTACACACGCACGCAAGCACGCACGCGCTAACATATGCACAGACATGACACACAAAAGAGAGACACGTAGGTCTATCTATATTAGCGCTCGTTCTTACCTGAATTCGGCAGATGGCCGATGTACATGATCGCCTTGCTGGCTCCACCCGTGTACAAGGCGTGCGGAGTGTATTCCACGTAGATGTCACTCCATGGGGGCGTGCAGAGATTGGAACCGGCCTCCTCACTCACCAATCTCAAACTGAAGTGACAGGAACGAATCAAAATAATTTATTTCACGAATTTAAAGCTACGTCAATGCACGTAGAGCCATCGGTCGGTCATATGCGGTGTGTGTGGGCGGGGGGTATGTGTGCGTGCGTGCGTGCGTGCGTGTGTGTGTGTGTGTGCGCGCGCTCGCGTGCGTGCGTGCGTGCGTGCTTGCGTGCGTCTTTGTATCGCTCGCTCTCTCTCTCTCCCCCTCTCTCTCCCTCTCTCTCCCTCTCTTTCTCTTTCTCCTCTCTCTCTCTCCCCCCTCCCTCTCTTCTCTCTCTCTCTCTCTCCCCCCTCCCCTGCTCTCTCTCTCTCTCCCCCTCCCTCTCTCTCTCTCTCTCTTCTCTCTCGCTCTCTCTCTCTCTCTCTCTCTCTCCTCCCCCTCCCTCTCTCTCTCTCTCTCTCTTGCTCTCTCGCTCTCCTCTCTCTTCTCCCCCTCCCTCTCTCTCTCCCCCTCCTCTCTTTCTTTTCTCTCTCTCTCTCCCCCTCTCTCTCGCTCGCACCCTCTCTCTGTATCTCTCCCACCACTATTTTCACAGCCTCATGGATTACCAAACCTACCCGGTAACCACAACGCTCGGTAGTCTCAACTGTAAAGGTGTAATTCTTGTCTGCGTAGTCCCAGATCGCCGAGTATTCCTCTAGAATCGCTTCCTCGCAACAACCGACGGTATCGGTGTTATCTGCTCCTGGGCAATGCTCTCCGTCGGCTACAACGAACGTTGATGAACGGTAACATTGAGCTCCGAGGGCGACATTACGAAACTAGTAGCAGGAGTGAATAATAACATATCTATTATAATATATATATATATATATATTATATTTATATTTTAGTACACATATATATATAATATTATATAGAACTTCTAGACAATCATACTATTCCGTAGAGTAGAGATATAATCTATTATTATTCATCCTGATACTAGTATGTCGCGAGTCGCTATAGTAAAGTGCGCTGATGCTGTTTCACCTCGCCGAGTTTATTTGCGACAAGGCGTCTTCTGCTGAGAGAGCGGATGTACAGATTTCTAGGAATTGCATGAGCACGTGCTGCGGTGTTTACTAGGCTCGGAGTTAATCCGGGCGTGACGTAACGCGCGCAGCCGTATGAATGTAGAATCGTAGTGTAGGATGTAGAATGTAGAATGTAAGATGTAGCAATGTAGAATGTTAGAATGTAGAATGTAGGATGAGATGTAGAAATGTAAATGTAGAATGTAGAATGTAGAATGTAGATATGTAGGATGTAGAATGTAGATGTAAATGTAGAATGTAGAATGTAGAATGTGATGTAGGATGTAGAATGTAGAATGTAAGATGTAGAATATTGAATGTAGAATGTGGTTTGTTCTGTGGCTAAAACTCTCGCAAAAAACTATATCGAGCCGAGAGAGATTGCCTCTCAGAAGTTGTATTTATGAGGGCTAGCTCTAGAACTATAGCCCTTCGCTCTGGTTAGAGCGAAAGCTATAGTTCTAGAGCTATATAAGGGCGTGATCGTTGTATTATGCAATATTAAGTGAATCGAAGGACAAATAAAAGCCGTAAAGAAACAATTTATACTTCCTTACTTACCCCTTTCCTCTTTCCCCAAATCCCGCCTACCCTCCGTCTCTATGTCTATTTCTCCCAAAGCTATCTCGCTTCTCCCTCCCCATTCCATTTCTCCCTGCCATCTCTTAATTTCTCTCAATTGGCTTTTCTCAGTCATACTCTTGCTCTCGCCCTCTCTTACCTCTCTTTCCGTTTCCTTTTTTCTCCCTCTTTCTTGCACCCCACTTCATTCGTGTGACATTACTTAAGTTATTAACTTAAAATCTCTTTAGCAATCCCGATCCATACCAGATAACACGGCGATAGGAAATTAGTTTAAAAATTGCCGCTTACATGCGTGTCTGTACGACAGATGAATGTTCAATATCAGCAGTCAATATTAATAGATTATTATTATTATATTGTTATTATTCACTTATTAATCACTATTATTATTTTTATATATTACTTTATTGATTCGTTATTATTATATTTACTATTAATAATAGATCTATATTATTTCACTCCTGAGTGCTATTTATCAGAACGGCGTAAACTGCCGTGGCAGTATATTAGCCCCTAACACAAAACATCAATAGCTCAGCATCAAATTGACACTGCTGGCATGCAATCACATGGCTCGAGAGGCGCGTCGTGTCCTCTGTCTGGTGTTACAGTCACCCTCGGAAATCAGCACCACATGGTCTAGACATGGCTACATATTATAACGATCATTCCATAATGTGTTTCGTACATGAATATCAAACCTCCCACCAGCTGCATTTAAGCGTCAGCTGCCCTGGACTCGAGGCGGCTGTGCGCGCGGCTAGTTAGTGACTGCCAGTGTTGTAATTTTTTTTTTGCCATATAGCAAAATTGCACAAAAGGTATATCGTACAGCGTAAACGCGGATAAAACATTTAGTTTAAAACTAACTGTCAATACAAACTGAATCGACTAGGGAGCGGGCCACAGTCATGAGCGACACGGAGTTTGGGTTGATATCTGCTCGTTCCCGACTCAAGGAAGCATCTGCCACCTGGTCGACAGCAGTAGCAGGTAGCCACTAGCAGTAGCAGCAGCAGTTCAGCAGGTAGCCATGTGGCAAGTAGCCAGCAGCACGCAGCATAGCAGTAGACAGTAGCACTAGCAGTAGCAGTAGCAGTTCAGGCAGCTCCTAGCAGTAGCAGACAGCAGCCCAGCATAGCAGTAGCCAGTAGCAGCAGCAGCCAGCAGCCAGCAAGCACTAGCGCGTGTAGCAGGACTTGATTTCGTAAGCGAAATCAAGTCTTAACCCAAAAGTGATTTCGTTACTGAAATCAACTACTGAGCCGTTAATTTTCGTTACCGAAATCATTGCGTCACTCGGCGACGCCGTGCGCACCAAGTGGCAGCAATGCACTTGAGATTTCGTTACGAAATCAAGCTATACAATGATTCGCAGTGCATCGACGAAATCATGCCTACACTGGCGCGCCGGCGCAGCCAAATGTCGCATTACTGATTTTCGTTACTAAATCAGACTACTACAATCGCAGATTTCGTTACGAAATCATTGCCTACACCTTGGCGTAAGGGCGAATGCTCGCATGGCTGATTTCCTTACTAAATCATTGATTTCGCTAACGAAATCAGAGGTCTACAAAGCTGATTTCGGCTACAATCGACTAGCTGCGAGTGATTTCCGCTGACGAAATCAGGCACTTGCATCACGATGTGATTTCGTTACGAAATCATGCTACACTTGCGCGTGGATGGCGGGCGCCAGAGTGTCCATGCACTGATTTCGTAACGATCAATCAAAGTCTACAAGTGATCTTCGCGTTACAAATCAGAGTCTTACAAATAAATCATGTAAATATTTGCCGTTATTATTAATTTATTATATTGCGCGGAAAAAAATAGTTAAATGGTAAACGATAGAAAATGAAAAAAATATGCATACATGGCAGGTGCGTGCGCATGGCATGGATGTGGATGTCTGGTACCCGCGTCCACCCTCTCGCTTAGTTACTCGATGGGCCTTAGCTTAGCATCGAGTTAATCAGATAGGCGAGCGAGACCAGCTTCTAGGATGTGGCGACTGCGTGCAATTTAGGAATCGGAACGGGGTTGTCTATATTCAT